GGTCTGATTAAAAAAACTTGTGTTGCCTGTGATTATTTAATAGCTCAAAGCAGCTTGAGTGCCATAACTCCTTAAAGAGTTTAGTAACAGGGAGTCTGTCAGGATGATCTCATTAGGACCAACATCCATTTGAGACTATTTGTGAATTAAGCTAAACGTGGTGACACTCCTTCACTTTTAAATATTTAATGTACTTATAAACCTAATCAAGAAGTAGCTGGATTTTAAATATTTTAATAGTTATAAATCTTTGAGTGATTTCTCTCTTTTTAAAAAAACCTATATTTAAAAATCTACTGTATCTCCTAAGTGTCTGTGACCTGTTAGTTGAAAATAAATACCTCCAGAAGAAAGGGAATTAGTGTAGCAGGCATGATGTCATATAGTAGGCCTCCCTTCAAAAAAGTTTTTTAGGTATATACAATTTGTAAGCAAAAGCAATTCTGCCCATTTATACTGGAGGATTGCGGGAAATGTAATTTTTATGGTGAGATTTAATATGGATGTTTCAAAGAACGATTATTGAATTATGCATTTTACTGCCAGTTTCTACCTTTCTTAGCTTCTCATTCTCCTTACACTCATCTTCCAACCCTGGGCACCAAGTATCCTTGGTCTGTCCCTGGGGGTGCCCCAGGCTACCACATGGTGCCTTTATTCAGATTGTGTCTTTCTGGTGTTGACCATCTCGAAATTTACCCTTCTCTTTTGCTTTTATATTACCTAATCAAACAAGGTCCCGGTTTTGGGTCCCTTACTCTTTCAGGCCCTTAATTGATTCATTCTTTTAAAATTTAATGAATTCTACTCTGTAGTCATATAACACGATCAAAGTATAGTTCTTTAACCCAGGGAATATATTGCTATGCAAATTTTATATATTATGGTCATTCTGTGATTTTTAGCCTTTATTCCTTCAAATCTCTCCTTTAAGTGCCCTGCAATTTCCTCTCTTATCATTATGTCTTGTGGCAATAACATTTTTAAAAAGTCAATAGATTCAGTTCTCTTAGAGTAAAATTACAACTCTTCAAACTCTGATGGATTGAAGCAGTCCATTTCTTACTTACTTATCAGAAACAGGCAGTAAAATGCATAAGTGAATAATATTTCTTTGAAACATCCATGTTAAATCTCACCATAAAAATGACATTTCCTGCAACACTCCAGTATGCCTAACAGAATTGCTTTAGCTTACAAATTACAAATATATACTGGAAAAAAAATTTTTTTTGAAGGGAGACCCCGTAAGACATCATGCCATTTCCCTGTAGGTTCATCCTAGATATATCACTAAAATATTTTATCATGTTATATCCTATGTCCATAAGACATCATTACTTCTAACATCCCTAGAATCAAGTTCCAGCTCTTTATACCTTTACACAGCCCCTCCATATCTGGTATTACTTGAACTTCCTAACATCATTTTCCATACTCCTCCAATCCAATCATGTCTTCAGTCAGCTGTTCTCTTCATTTATTTTACCAAAAATGCACTTTTTTTTAACTTCACCTCCTTCCCAAATGTCAATCCATACATTAGGGGTGTGTTTTGCAATTCACGCTGAAATAAACCCAAGATAGAATTCTGTGAGAGAAGCTGATGCTAGAACACCAAAATACTTATTCTAAAATCAGAAAAAAATTATCAAGTTGTAAAGGTACTTGAATTTGAGAGACCAGTATGGTAAAACCAGTGTGTAGAGTGTATGAAACTCAGTTCTATAAAGAGAAATGAAAATTTAGGTCCTTAAAATACATATACACACACATACAATAAAGCACAGGGCATTCAACAGCCTCCAATTTCATTCTCTGTTTTCTCAAGGGATGTTAAAATAAGCCTGACCTACAGTAAGTAGGGCCTGCAGTTGACCTCGATTTTCCTCTGAGTCACATTTTATTTGTTCTACCATGGCATGACCCTTCTTGTTTCTTGGCTCTTTTACTTGATAAATAGTTCTTAAGTCTCATTTAGTATTAGTCTTGTTTACTCCAGAAATGGCTTCTTCTATCTCAAGTTTTGCTCTTACATCCTGAGTGAGGATGGAGGGTCTGCACGCCTCATGTGAGGATAGAGTCCCCCATTAGTAGGAAAAGTATCTTTTAAAAAGTAGGGGCTTCAAAGTCAGGAAGATTTCTGTCCAAATTTTCTGCAAAAAGTAGATAACAAAGTAACATTCCCTCTGTGGAAAGGTCACTTCCCTGAACTACCTCACCCACTAACCACACCCAGCCTAAGTCAGCTTTCTTTGTTTTAAAATTTCTTTGAATTTTGTTCTATTTCTCTAGAACACTTATCTCATGCGTAACTATTGGAGTTTTGGGGGTGATAAGTTGATCAGTATATTTCTTCCCTACCATGATGTAGTTTCCATCAAGAGCTGAGATTGTGTCTGGTTTAGTTCACTGTTGTTCCCAGTCTCTAGCATTGGCCCAGCTCCTCAAATACTGTTGAATGGAAGAATAGTCCCTAAGGTTGATGGAGAAGAAAAAGATATATATATCTGTATATAGAGTGCTATGGTTAGCACCTGGTAAATATTCAGTAAATAGTAACTTTATTTTTTGTTCTTGCTGGAAATCTAAACTGGAAATATATTTCTTGCACAGAAGAAATGGATCTTTCTTGCACTATGTCACTTGTTAATGTGTTAGTGAACTCTTCATTGCTGTGACCAAAATACCTAACATAAACAAAGAGGTAAAGATTTTTTTTGGCTAGTGGTTTCAATCCATGCTGGCTCCATTAGAATGGACCTGAGGCAAGGCAGAACATCATGGTGGAAGAGTATGACAGGGGAAAGATACTTTATCTCCTAGAAATAGGGGAGAGAGAGAAAGACAGACACAGGGGCCTAGGACACGATACAGTCCCCAAGGACCAACTCCCTCCAGTTAGGTTCTACCTCCTACCATCTCTACCACCTCCTAATTGTCCATTCAGATCATAAATTCATCATCAGATTAATCCTTTGAACATTGTTGCTTTGGGTACCAATCACCTGCAAACACTTGAGTCCTACTCCTCAGTACTTTTCAATCCCCTAATACTTATCACTCTCATTACATATTTGGGAATTTAAACTCAGAATTACTAAACATTTCCAAACATGTCTTCTAAAACTAGCATCTCTTCCCAGACCTTGGAATGGCTTCCGAAAAAAAAGCCAAGACTAGCAGAAGGCCTAGAGAATGTTAGCAAAATTAACTTCATGGAGCATCATTGTGTCTTCCAAAGGTAAGTTTCCATTTTATGAAGTTTTGCTATTATAAAGGTCTCAGGAAGAACTTTAATAGAAAAGAATTTAAACTAAATGGCTAAATGAAACCTAGATTTATGCTTTAGTCAATTGAAAGAATCTAACATGAGGCAGGCCCATGGTAGGTGTTCAATAAATAACCATTGAAAAAATTGTGTGTGTGGGGGGGGCATATCTTGGTAACGGTCGGCATTGATTACCTCTTCTATAAAAGAGATACCATAAATCAGTTTCCTGACTTTAATCTTAAAAACTCTATGACTCTAGTAAAAGCAGGACTATCTTCTCAAGGAAGGCAAGCTTTGGTGTTGAGAGAGAGAGAGAGAGAGAGAGAGAGAGAGAGAGAAAGAAAGGAAAAAAGAAAACATTTGAAGATCCCCAAATTTCTGCACAGAAAGCTCTGACTTCTTGACTGCAGGAGTGCAGACTGGCCTCGTGGTTCTTGAGGGTGAAACGTTAACTCCTCTTACTCTCCAGGGTTCTTGGCTGGAGATACCCTGCGGGTTAAGTTTGGAGCAAGGAAAAGAGGAGCGGGCAGTTTTAATATTTCACTTAGGAAGAAACTAATGAGTAAGTCAGGCTGTAAAGACCAGCTATTGGAGGAGAAATTCAACTTCAAAAGTTGCAGTTTGTGAGTGTTAAAAAGGGGGCGGGGGGAGGTGGGGAGAACAGGAAAAGAAATAATGGAGGGGGGGTGGGGAGAGGTTGCAGGGGTGACAGGGGAGAAAGGGACTGGTCAAAGAAACCCTGAAGTGAAAATAGGAAAAGAATATGCTTTGCAATTTGCTGATTCTCCTGCTCTTCCTCTCTCACTCCCTCCAGAAGTCAGAAAAGTTTTGGAGGCGAGAAAGCTCTTCATTCAACAGACTCCCTAAGAGAAGCGCCTGCTTCATCCTTCCCGACTCCCGCCGAGTCCTTCCCCTTTTCCGGGAGATGGAGCGCAGCAGGCGACCCTCTTGAGAAGCAGCAGCCCCGGCTACCCTCGGAGTCCCTTAAGACTCGGGCAGCACGCAGGTCTCCCGCTAGTAAAGCCTTCCTTCTTTCGTCCATTCTCCTGGAAAAGAAAAAGGAAAGACTGAGCCTCTAAACCGGCCCTTCCCCTTCCCCCTCTTCCTGAGGGACCTAAGGCAGAAAGCACTATTCTGTGATTCACTGGCGAGAAAAGAGGGAGGAGGCAAAAGAACTTCCGAGAGTCCAAACTAAGTAAGTTAGCCCAGAAAACGCCAGCAGGGTGTAGCGCCTCCGCTGGATGCACCAGCCCTCGGAGAACTGGTGGGCCCGGTGGAGAGGGGCGGCGGCGCCGGACCCTGCCTCGCTCCGCACGCGCTCCTACCGCGGGGAGACGGAATCGGCCCCCAAGATCCTGCAAAGAAGTGGGCGGTTAGCTGCAGAGGGTAATCAGGAACGGCTTTTTTTCTCACTTCGCCGCCTGGTGAGTGTTGGGAAGATTGGCAAACGCCTAGGAGAATCGGGAAAGATACAGAGCCCTGGGAAAGGAGCCAGTTCGCTCCGGGCAGTTCCTCTTTGCAAGACGCAGCTGCTCCACTCTGCAGTGCTTTCCAGGTGTTGGGACCCCTGGACGTACCGCCAACCTCATCACCCTCTGTGCGTGTGCAGCCTAGGACAGCCTGGTCCCCCAACGTGGCCCTGTTCAGTGTGATTATCAATTCCTTATTTGTTTACTTTTGGCTTCTGAGAACTTTTGAGTGGAAATAGTAACTTTTCTTGTGGAAGCTACTCTAGGGAGAGAGGAAAAGGAAAAAGTGAAATCTGATGGAGAAGAGTGTTCCCCCCCCCCGCCCCCCAAAGATTCTGGATGTCCTGATAAACCAGCCCTAATAGAAGATTAAAGTTGTGGGAAGTAGTGACAGCCGAGAAGAGCAGAGGATTACTTGCCAGGTGGAGACCCTTCGCGGTCTATTGGGTCTCCCCTTCTGCGTGCATGTGTGCGCCAGCGGCGGCGCGCGGTGCGGGGTTTTGCGCGTGGAGTCTCAGCTTGGAGCCGAGTGAATGGCCCCCAGGGGCCGCGCGGAGCTGCCGCCTCCGCCGCCTCCACCGCCTCCACCGCCTGCGCCTCAACAGGTCTGGCTCTGGCCTGGAAAGATGCTAGCTATGGGTGCTCTGGCAGGCTTCTGGGTCCTCAGCCTCCTCACCTATGGTTACCTGTCCTGGGGCCAGGGTTTAGAGGATGAGGAAGAAGGGTCCCTGCGAGTTCAAGCTGGAGAAAGACCCGAGCCCAGCACAACTGCCACCTCTCAGCCCCATCTCATTTTCATCCTGGCGGATGATCAGGGATTTAGAGATGTGGGTTACCATGGATCTGAGATAAAGACACCCACTCTTGACAAGCTCGCAGCTGAAGGAGTTAAACTGGAGAATTATTACGTCCAGCCCATTTGCACGCCATCCAGGAGTCAGTTCATTACTGGAAAGTAAGTATTATTCTTATATGTACTTCTTGGAGAAATCTTAAGCATTTAATTAAGATCCAGCTCTTAATTTAAGAAAGTAACAGAGTATGGGAAACAACTGAATGAATGAATGAATGATGTATGGTGTTGGGCTATGGCATTAAAATTGATGCCCTGTTAATGAATCTTGGTCATCTAGTCAGTAGTCATCTCGTTTTCCTTAGGACAGAGCCAGCTGGGAGCTTTTGAATGAGGTCAGGACTGTAACACTCCTCCACCAACCAGAGAACTCCAGAAACATTACCAATTCCGAACCTATTCTGACTTTAAAGCATGCTCAGTTTTGCTTTCAGGTGTCACAATAGAATTCACACTGGTTTTCAGTGATAAGAAGGACCGACCAAAATTTTTCTGTAATTCTTGCTTTGTTCTTAAATCTAGAATTGAATGATGAAAGCCGCAGGTCACTTCAAAGACAAAAGAGGTCACAAAAAAATAGATGAAGGTAATGTAAAATCTGATCATTGTGTGTAGGACTCTGGTTGGGTCTTTGATGGTTATTTTTTTTTCTCTTGTGGCGTCATTATAAGACCATATTTAATGCCAAGGCAGTTTTCAAAATGCAAAGAAGTTCAATGGTCTGCTCAACAGGAGTGGGACTTCTGAAGTTTTCTGCTGCTCCTCACAGGACTGAAAATTTTCTGAGTAATGGCACTTAGGTTATTTGGATGTTTAAGTGTTCTTAATATTGCCATCATTTTCCTAGTCAAATCTTCCACTTAGGGTTTTCACACATTTTTATTTTTTACTCTATCCTATCAGAATATGGGTTACTGTAACCTATTTCATTGCACCAATTCAGCTTGGAATGAAGAGAAAGCAGGAGAGCTAGCAATCAAACTACTCCTGGATAGAGGTAGAAAAGAAGGCTTAAGAGTTCACTCTATGGGCCTTGTGATTTCCGTTGCAAGACAGGGAACCCTTGCTTCAGTGAAGTTGTTCTTGGAATTGGATCCTATAGGAGTAGCCAGTATCCATTGGAAAAATAAAGACTACAGTATTTTGTAGGAATCTCTGTCTTGCAAAGACTTTTGCTTAGAGCATAATTTCCACTACTTAGCAAACTGTCAAAACTTAGCATAACTGCCAGAAAAACAACAAAAAAAGACACCCTTAGGAGTCTCATTGTATGTACTTCAGAATCAACTTAAAGGTTAATTACACAGCATAAAGTCAAGGGCATTTGATATTTACAATGGAAAAGATTGTTGGCTAGAAAACAATAAGTCCATCTGGTGGCCTGGAGGTCAAGTTCTTCACATATAATATCAACCACACTTATATATGGCTCATGAAATAATGTGTCATATAGCCTCACTAGAGCTCTTCTAATTTGTAAAACCAAAATTTGTGCAGATAGCCAATAATACTTGAAAAATATGTAATTGAATTATATGAGTATATTTTTCACAACAAAGTACATGTTCAGAGCTTTTCACCAAACAAGAAAATTTAGTTCTTAAATTTCTTGCACTGATAACATATTGAGGTTTTATCTTTTGATCTTCATATTTACTTAAGATGAAACAGAAATTAAGCTGGAAATAATTCCTAATTTTTCTCTTTGGTCAAAGGTTGACTCTTCTATACTTTCAATGCAATCAAACATTTAATGAGAAGATTTCTTTCCATATTAAAACTTCTATTGAGTGCAACAAGTTGTATTACTGTTCTCTAGACAGAAAGTTCAGATATCTTGAGTTACTTGATTTAAATTTCTATTTGAATTAACAGTTGAAGACATTTCACTTCTAGTTTTCCTTTTAAACAAATTGCTGGAACTTTCCTTTAAATGAACACAGATGTAAAAAAGAAAGTGGTTATAGAAACCTAGCTCCAGACTTAATAGTAATACTACAGGGCCCAGAGAATACGGTCATTTAACCTCTCTATGAGCACATGTCTAGCCTTTCTGGATCCTCTAAAGTAAAAAAGGAAGCAATAAAATCCCAAATGGATTGAATTATTTTAAAGGGAAAAATAGGTTATGTGAAATGTGAGAGTATTCAGATATCTTCACATGATAAAAGAAGAGTTGAAATGATGGAAGCTGAATTTACTTTTAACACAATTTAACAAAACAGCCCTCTCTTAATATTTTGCTAAGTTCAAAATGTAAAAAAAAAAACAAAACCTTTTTTCTGCTGTACAAACCCGTAACAAATTCCAGATTCTTTTAAAAATTTGCCATACCAGTCTGGCAATATTGACTATCAGTAAGCATCAACTGTGTTCACACCCCTGTATTAGAGCTGTGAGGAGCAAATAAGGAGCAAGCCCTGATCTCTAGATGGTAATCCTCAAATTTGAGTGAGTAAAAAAATCATCAAAATGCTAGTTAAAATACAGATCTCTGCACTTGATCAGTGATTCAGCTTCAATAGGTCTAGGACTGAATCCAGAAATCAGCAGTAATTTAATGAGCACGTCAAGTTATCTTAATGATAATACTCTGATAATAAATTTAAGAGTCTTGGTATTACATGGTGGCATCTACTGATCACTCACTGTGTTCTGGGATAATGTATTTTAAGTACATTATCTCATTTAATCTTATGATAACTCTGTGGTGGTGGTTTTGACTATCACTCCCATTTTATATAGATGTGACAACAGATCCAAGAGGGGTAGTGATGTAGAGGTTCTGGTAACTGGACTTTGAGAAACAGAACTCTAGGTGTTGAAAGTTGGCCTGGTGAGACAAAAGGTTGAATGGGAAAGTGGCTGTGTGGGGGGGGTTTATTTCAAAGTAATTTTCTTCTTTTAAAGTGTTACAAATAACAACATGGAGAAATGGCAGCATTTCTTCTTAAAAGAGAACACAATGAAAGCTTCAGAGTTAAAAATTTTGCAAAATTTAGACATGTGTTTATTGAAGAGTACAGAATAGGAGATAGGCAATATGAACTACATTCATATCTTTAACAACAAGTTTGTGATTTTTCTATTCTGTTATTTACTTATTGCGATTGAAATGCCCTGATGATTATTTTAAAAAATTCAAAGGTAACTCAAACAGTATGCTTTTGTAACAGGATAACTTGATAAATTCATTTCACTTAAAATATACCCACCCCCATCCAACTGCTGCCATTTGCCAAGGTTAATCACTCTCTTGACTTCTAACACCTTAGATTAATTTTGTCTATTTTTGAACTTCATATGAATGGAATTACAGTGATAAATATATGGCTTCTTATGTCTGGCTTCTTTTAATATAATATTTATAAAAGTTTTCCACAGTTGTTGTCAATGGATACAATTTGTTCATTTTCAGCATTAGATAGTGTGCCTTTGTATAAGTATACTAAAGTTTATCCATTCTACTGTTTATAGATAAATTTGAGTATTTTCCAGTGTTGGGCTATTATGAATAGTACTGCCATAAACATACTTCTGTGTGGTTTCTGGTAAATATATGCATGCATTTCTCTTGAATACCTATCCAGAAGTGGCATTGCTGTACATCACTGAATGTACATGTTCAGTTTTTGTAGATATTACCTAATAGTTTCCAAAGTGATGCTCCAATTTACATGTCTCTAGCAATTGTATGGGGAGTTCCATTTGCTTTACATCTTTGCCATTACTTGGTATTGTCTTTTTTCATTTTAGTCTTTCTGGATCATTTTGTATTGGTAGTCCATACTGGTTTAAATTTCCCCTTTTCTGATAACTAAAGAAATTGTGTGTCTTCATATATTTTTATGGGCCATTTGGATATCCCTTTTAAGAAGTATTCATTTAAGTCTTTAGCCTATTTTCCCTTTATGTGATTGTTTTCTCCTTACAGATTTGTGGTAATTCTATTCTATTCTATTCCTTTGTTAGATATTTATATTGCAAATATATTGGGATAATGTGTTTTAAGTACATTATCTCATTTAATCTTATGATAACTCTGTGGTGGTGGTTTTAACTATTACTCCCATTTTATATAGATGTGACAACAGATCCAAGAGGGGTATTGATGTAGAGGTTCTGGTGACTGGACTTTGAAAGTACAGAATAGGAGATTGACACTCTGGCCTGCTTATTCACTCTCAATGTTTTTTTGTTTGCTTTTGTGAATAAGTTTAAATTTTATCATAACACATTTACATTCTTTTTTTTTACATCCTTCTTGAGATATTCTTGCCTAACTCATGATCACAATGGGTTTTTTCTCTGAAAAGCCTTATTGCTTTATTTTTATATCTACATCTTCAATTCATTTGTAATTAATTTCAGTATAGTGTAAATCAGAGTTCAAGATGATTTTTTCCACACGTATAGTCTAGCCCGCAGTTAATTAAAATCTAGTCTGTACTGCACTGCCACCTTCTTCATAAAACAGATGTGCACATTTGGTCTGTTTTTGAACCTTATTTTGTCCATGGTCTGTCTTTGTGCCCATATGCCATTCTCTTAACTACTGTAGCTTTATTTTATATGTATATAATCTATGTCTTTCTGTGTCTTCCTGTTCATTCTTCAAAATTGCCCTTGTTATTCTTTACCAATTCATTTATTTTAATAGGAAAGAAGGAGAATGGATGTACAGATACAAATAGGTCAGAAAAATTCAGTTTTGGAAATATGTAGTCTTTATGGATTATTTTGCTAAGTAATATAACAAGTGATATCATCAGCTGAGAAAATCTAGAGATTTACATAGAGAATTATAAAGTATTCTTCTAGGAGAGTAAGCAAATTGAGTAGGGCAATGTATGAAAAATGCTGGGCACTAATGAAAGATCACTTGAGATCTGGGGTCATAAATTTTTGCAGAGCCCAGCCATCATTTGTTTGCTTTTCTCCCGTCATGCTTAGTTGCTTTAGTGCAGAGGCAGTGAAGGTGAAGGGGAGGATTGAACTCTATTTGGGGATCTCCCAAATGAATAGAGGGGTGGATCATGGACTCTGAATGTAGCAAGGAGGAGAGGAAATCTCTGGGGAATTTATGTTCTCTAAAAAAGTGC